GCTCAGAACACTACCTTGGGGCACACCTTCGTATTGCTGAAAAGTGGCAGAGAGAGCGGTACCAAGCCTCACCCGAAAGGAATGACGAGAGAGGAAGCTTTGGAGAAATAGAGGGAGATGACCATGAAGGCCAAAAGAATGAAGTTGGGGCAGAATATGATATCGCCAAGTGGTGTCGTAAGCCTTTTCCAAAATCAAAAAGGATGGTAACAATGGAGGTCTTTGCAGCAAAAGCAGTACGAATATTGACCTCCAAGTTCACCAGGACATCTGTAGTGATGCGGCACTTGCAGAAACCAAATTGAGAATGGAAGAGGTGGTGATAGTGTTCTAAGAACCACATCAGACGAACGTTAACCATACGTTCAAAGAGTTTGCAGACACAACTCATGAGGGCAATAGGGCGATAGTCCTTAGGGGAAGTCCCCAGAGACTCTGGTTTGCGAACAGGGAGGACAACGGCATCGAGCCATTCCTCAGGGACTGACAACGACTCCCAGATCCGATTATACAGACTCAGTAAATACTGAGACATACACAGAGGGAGATGGCAAAGCATTTCATAATGAATGCCATTGGAACCTGCCACCGTAGAACCACAGAGGGCCAGGGTAAGTCGAAGTTCAGAGAGAAGGGATCGTTAAAGGGAAGTCGGAGATGAGTGCAGAAATCTAAGGGACGAGATTCAAGGTCAGGTTTACGAAGAAGGAAAGATTGAGGAAGATGAGAACCAGAGCTAACAGAAGAAAAGTGGGAACCCAGTTCGGTAGCGACCTGCAACAGGTCCGCCACAAGAGTACCACGGAGGTGAAGGACCAGCGAGACATCGGGAACGAACTTGCCTGCTATTATCTTGCAGATATGCTTCCAGATCTGCAGTAGAGGCGTTTCGGACGTAATGGTGGAGACATAAGACATCCAACATTCATGTTTAGCCGTACGAATGGCCCTACGGGCCACCACACTCGCCTTCCGAAACAAAAGAAAAGAATCAGCCGTCTGCCGACGGCGGTCTCTCTTCCAGGCTGCACGCTTACAGCGGACAGCTCAAGCACAGTCTGCATTCCACCAGGGAACGCACTTCCCTGGTCCCCGAGAGGAAGAGCGAGGAATAGAGCGGAGGGCAGCGGCGAAGATGGTATCATGAAAAAGGAGGAGAGAGCGAGGGAGAGGTCAGAGAGAGCAACTCCGAGGGCAAATAGGTTCCAGTCTGCCTTAGTAAACTGCCACCTACGGAAGGAGAAGGAAGGGCGAAAAGAGAAAAAAGTAACAAGGATGGGGAAATGGTCACTGCCATGGAGGTCATCAAGAACTCGCCACATGAAATCCAAGTAAAGAGACGAGCAGAGAGAAAGATCAAGACAGGAAAGGGTGTGAGTCCGAGTGTCCAAATGAGTGGGATCGCCAGAATTCAGAAGAGACAGGGAAGAAGAGAGGATGAATGGCTCAAGAAGGCGACTCCGGATGTTTGTCAGAACATCACCCCAAAGGGTATGACGACAATTGAAATCACCTAGCAGGAGCACAGACGCCGGTAACGAGTCCAGTAGGCGTTTAAGATCGGGAAGAAAAAGCGGGACACTCGGAGGGGAGATTAATGGAACAAACTGTGTAACATTTCCTCACAAAGATACGGGTAGCAGAACATTGGAGGCGATGGAAGAAGTAAGGGGACATAGGCAACATTAGAGCAAATCAAGAGAGCAGAAGAGTTAGGAGCTTGGGGGGGGGGAGGGAGAGAAAGGAATAGGCACGGAAGCGACCAGGACGCGCACCAAGCATCGGCTCCTGAAGACAGACACAAAGGGGCAAAAACCGTGAAATCAGAAGTCGGAGTGCAAGGAAATTGGCATAATAACCACGAATGTTCCACTGAAGAATAGACATCGACAAGAAGAGAAAGGACAGCAACAGAGAACAACAAGAAACAAAGGTGAAAAGGGAACACAGCATGTTAAAGAAGTGCAGGATCAGGGTCAGCGAAGTCAGGGTTAGGGGGCATGGGTAAACTGAGTAAAGATGGAGGGAAGGGAGTGGGAGGACAGACCAGAGGCGGACGTACAGGGACAGGAGGAGGAGGGGGACACAACCGTTGGTCGAGGACAGCAGCAAGAGGGGCATTCCAGGGAGTGCACGTCAGCAAGGGCAGCAACTGAGAGGGAAGCGGGGGCCAAAGAAACCGCCATAGCAGGAACAGGGGGCGCAACTACCGAAATGGGAGGGGATGGAGGGAGAGTGTCAGAGGTAGGGGCAAGGAAGAAAGGGAAGCCTTCTTACCCGCCGGGAGGAGGAAAGAGAGAAGCCAGGCTTTCGCTTCTGACTCAAAGAGACAGGCTTCCCAGCAACAATCTACTGGGCAACAGATTCAAGCGTCTCAATAGAAGAAGCAGAACGAGAGCAAACACGATGGCAGTTGGGAGAGCGATGGACATCAGCCCACACTGACAGGCGGCGTGGAGAGCTAAGAGATGGAGGAGAAGGATGGGAAGGAGGATTGGAGGGAGACAAGGAAGAAGACACAGGAGACATGACAGACTGGGTAAAAAAAATGGGAACCCCTGAGCGCCATGAGGGAGACCCTTCAGGACAGAACTCAAAGGAACAGAGGAGGAGGCTGTTGGCATGTCTGGGTCTAAGGCCTGGAAACGGTTGTGAGACTGAGGAAGGCAGGAAGGACGAGTAGAGGAAGAGCGCAACATGCGAGCATAAGAGATGTTAGCATAAGGTGGGAAACGGGGAACTTGGCACCTCGCCTCAGGAAAAGACAAACGTTCCCGGTGCTTCAAGTTGAGGACAGCCGTCTCAAGCTTGTAATGTATACACGCACGGGAGAAGGTAGGGTGGGTCTCGCTGCAATTGAGGCAGCGAGCCTGGGGAGAAGTGCACTCCGACAGAGTGACCTTCGTCCCCACACACAGGACAGAGAGAGACAGTACCGGAGCAGCGGAGGGCTCCATGCCCAAACCTCCAGCACTTATTACAGAGCCGAGGAGAGGGAATGTACTCCTGGACGGAGCACCTAGCAACAGCAAGAATGACAGAGGGCGGAAGGGTCCCACCATCAAAGGTAATCTTCACAACCCGAAGGGGTCGACGGCGACTACCACGAGCGGGACGAGTAAACGAGTCTACCTGGAGGACAGAATGGCCCAGGGCTTCGAGGATATGCCGAATATCATCGTGACAGTCCTGTAGATTTCGAACACCGGTTGCAACATGGGGTGGGAGGAGAATAGTGCCAACACTGGCATTCAACCAAGCGTTCTTGGAGACCCGGACAGGGGTCTCGCCAAGGCAGGATAAGGTGGCCAAACGGGAGGCTGCATCCTGAGAAGGAGCAGCAACAACACGTGTACCGAGACGGGTGGGGTTGAATTTAACAGAGGCATCTACTGAATCAACGAGGTGCCTATGGAGGGAGAAATCGTCAGGAGGCGTAGAATCAAGAGGGAGGAGATGAAAGTATTTGGCCCACGAAGTGGGACCAAACAAGGCTTGATACGCATCAGTACAGGAAGGAATCGAGCGATTGCGGCCATGTCGAAGATGGGGTTGAGAACCCCCAGACAGAGAGAGGGGTTACAAGGCGCAGTAGTCACAACTAGAGACCGAGCCGTGCCAGGGGACGAAATGGTCACCACTGGGGGCTTGGGGCTCGACCCAATCACAAAGGAGGGAGGGGAACCGAGGAAAGTAGTCAGGAGGATCAAAGGAGAAGAAAGGTCGGGGCCCAATGCAGAGGGGGCTACAGAGCCCGGTTTTCCAACACAGGCCAACTCGGGGGCTTGGTCACCCACCCCACGAGTCCGAGAAGGTAAAAAAGGAACATTAATTGATAGAGACGAGAGGAAAGACTTTCATTCACGAATGTGCCCCCACACCCACCACGGAGCCACAATTAGAGGATAAGACACCACCCAACAAGAGACATGTTCAAGCCCCCCCCCCCCCAGGGGGTGGATCGTGAGTATACGCCCCACAAACGCCACCTTAGGAACTGTCAGTCCGTCGAGATCGGGTTCAGCGATGAAAGGACGATTGAATAAAAAGTCCCCCCTCACTCGAGACGTTGGGTACTACAGTTCTACAGGTGCAAGAGTATGCCTCCTCAAACACCCGGGCATCAAAACAAAAGAAGCCCAAAAGAATATGATCAAAACAGGCACAAGGTCACCTTACCTTGAGGTTACCTTGAGGTGCTTCCGGGGCTTAGCGTCCCCGCGGCCCGGTCGTCGACCAGGCCTCCTGGTTGCCGGACTGATCAACCAGGCTGTTGGACGCAGCTGCTCGCAGCCTGACATATGAGTCACAGCCTGGTTGGTCAGGTATCCTTTGGAGGTGCTTATCCAGGTCAGTGGGAAATGACAATTAGAAAGGAGAAGATGGGGGGGGAGGGGAGAAAAACGAAACAAAAGGAAAAGGAAACGTTGTCCAGCAAAATTGGTGAGGACAGCAGCAGGAGAATAAGGCCACAAAAGGACAGAGGACTGTCCCATGGAGCATCACACTCCGGCAGCCGCCCACCAAGCCCCCTCACGGCAACGAGCCGGACAGGGAGGGGGGGTTGTCATATGAAGAAAGATTGACAAAGCTTAAATTAAATTCTCTAGAAAGGCAAAGAATTAGGGGTGACTTGATAGATGTGTACAAGTGGATGAATGGGCATAATAAAGGGGATATTAATAGGGTATTAAATGCATCAACACAAGACAGAAAACGAAATAATGTGTATAAATTCGATAAATTTAAATTTAGTTAAGACGTGGGTAAATACTGGTTCGGTAACAGGGTTGTTGATTTGGGGAACCAATTACCGCGTAACGTGGAGGTGGTGGGGTCCCTTGATTGTTTTAAACGTGGGTTGGACATATATATGAGTGGGATTCATATCCCACTCTCATATATATGAGAGTGGGATTGGGTGGTTATAAATAGGAGCTGCCTAGTATGGGCCAATAGGCCCCTCTGCTGTTATCTTTGTTCTTATGTTCTTACGCCAGTATGACAAGACATGTGCACGCCAGTATGACAAGACAACGTGTGCATGCCAGTATGACAAGACACCATGTGCACGCCAGTATGACAAGACAACATGTGCATGCCAGTATGACAAGACAACATGTGCATGCCAGTATGACAAGACAACGTGTGCACGCCAGTATGACAAGACAACATGTGCATGCCAGTATGACAAGACAACATGTGCATGCCAGTATGACAAGACAACATGTGCATGCCAGTATGACAAGACATGTGCACGCCAGTATGACAAGACAACATGTGCATGCCAGTATGACAAGACATGTGCACGCCAGTATGACAAGACAACATGTGCATGCCAGTATGACAAGACATGTGCACGCCAGTATGACAAGACAACGTGTGCATGCCAGTATGACAAGACAACGTGTGCACGCCAGTATGACAAGACACCATGTGCACGCCAGTATGACAAGACACCATGTGCATGCCAGTATGACAAGACAACATGTGCACGCCAGTATGACAAGACAACATGTGCACGCCAGTATGACAAGACAACATGTGCATGCCAGTATGACAAGACACCATGTGCACGCCAGTATGACAAGACACCATGTGCATGCCAGTATGACAAGACACCATGTGCATGCCAGTATGACAAGACAACATGTGCACGCCAGTATGACAAGACAACGTGTGCATGCCAGTATGACAAGACAACATGTGCACGCCAGTATGACAAGACAACATGTGCATGCCAGTATGACAAGACAACGTGTGCATGCCAGTATGACAAGACAACGTGTGCATGCCAGTATGACAAGACACCATGTGCATGCCAGTATGACAAGACACCATGTGCATGCCAGTATGACCAGACAACATGTGCATGCCAGTATGACAAGACACCATGTGCATGCCAGTATGACAAGACACCATGTGCATGCCAGTATGACAAGACACCATGTGCATGCCAGTATGACAAGACACCATGTGCATGCCAGTATGACAAGACAACATGTGCATGCCAGTATGACAAGACAACGTGTGCATGCCAGTATGACAAGACAACGTGTGCATGCCAGTATGACAAGACACCATGTGCATGCCAGTATGACAAGACAACGTGTGCATGCCAGTATGACAAGACAACGTGTGCATGCCAGTATGACAAGACAACGTGTGCATGCCAGTATGACAAGACAACGTGTGCATGCCAGTATGACAAGACAACGTGTGCATGCCAGTATGACAAGACAACGTGTGCATGCCAGTATGACAGGAGAAAGTATGCAAGCCCCCTCCCCCCACACACACAAATGAATCACTATGCCAACTGAACCTCCGTTAGGTATGAGTCAATAATTACCTGTGTAGTGAGGTAGCTATACTCCTCACCTTTCTCAGAGCCTACAAACTTTCCAGTTTTATAATTTCTACCATTATACTGTGCGCTAAAATAATGTTTTTTTTAACTCCATTAAATCACTTGATATATATAGTAGCTTATGAAACAGTGCCGTCACTTGAAACTGAGTTAGACCTTATTATTTAGTTTCTGATAGCTATCTTTTCCTACGTAGTGTAATAACTAAGTCAAGAGTATTTATCGGTTTGCTACAAAAATCATGCTTCAAGCTATGGGTTTGAAATCAGGTTTTTGAGGAAACTACCAAACCTGCGTTTTAGTTCTAGACAAACAGGTACAGTGATATGTCAGTGTCACGTCTCGCTGATGAGGGATCACAAGGGGATTTATTGATGTCAGGACCGTCAGTCATCCCAGGAGGACGTTAAGGGTATGGAGAGGAAGCTCTAGTGTCGTGGTGGTGTGAGGGGGAGACCTTAAGTGAGAGTGTGTTAGTGAGTGTTTGATGTGTCTTTTTTTTACAATGTCCTTAATATGCGTTATAAAGGTGAAATGCAATTCTGAACAGTTTCCACACATCCTGTATACACATACACACACATAAATATATATATATATATATATATATATATATATATATATATATATATATATATATATATATATATATATATATATATATATATATATATATATATATATACACATACCTACACATATACAGATACATATACCTACGTCTCTCCTAAACTGACAGAGTAAGATAGCTGCTTTTGAAACTAGTGTGTTATTAAGCACTTAACCACTGAAGGTGATTAAGATGCATTTACCAGCTGAGGTTATAGTTACATCACTGCTGGTGTGTGGCGAGGGGTCGTCGCAGACTGCCCGTTGTGCTCGGCTCTGTTGCTACCTTCACCCACTACTTAAAACAAGCCCTAATAATCCTTTTCAACCATTAAACAAATATTGTGCCTCATAACTTACCAAGTGTTCCATAAAACATCAATGACGTTTTGTACAACATTTGATATATGCTGATAGGCCAGACTTTCACTTTATAAAGCATTTGGTGATGAAATGAATTTACAAATTGCTGACAAAAAATGCAGTAAAGTATTCCAGGACCTTTGGAACCCCATGTTGCTAGATTCAGAAGCAAGTAGTGTATTGTGAAGACTAACAATAACAAACAGTAGCTCCCCTATGACTGCAATATCTCCATAGCTCAATTATGTATTAGCGATCAAGACCTACAATTAATGTATAATGATTATCTGTAAATACATAGCTATTGAAATGGAACATTCTTTATCTTGAGATCATCATGAGATGGTTTCGGGGCATAGCGTCCCCGCGGCCCGGTCCTCGAACAGGCCTCCTTTTTGTTACACATCCCCTGGAAGCAGCCGAAGCAGCCCATAGAAGCTGTCTAACTCCTAGATACCTATTTACTGCTAGGTGAACAGGTGCATCAGGGTGAGAGAAACTATGCCCATCTAACTCCTAGATACCTATTTACTGCTAGGTGAACAGGTGCATCAGGGTGAGAGAAACTATGCCCATTTGTTTCCCCCTCCACTGGGGATCGACCCCAGAACCTCAGGACTACGAATCCGAAGCGCTGTCTACTCAGCTGTCAGGCCCCTGACATTATAATTATAAGGTGTGAAGGATAGATGAAATTGCTAATGTAATCATTTCTGTTGGTCTGATAAAGACCTTTTGTGCCCTCTGAAATACTTTTTTGCGCTACCTCTCACAGGAAAAGATGGGGTGAACAATAAACTAGGCGCCTCCAGCGGCAACAATAAAAACTTGAAACCATGTTGCTTGTAAACAGCGGTGTGAGGCACTCTAGACGGTGACCAGTTCATGGACTGATGCAGCACACTGCATCAACCTACTGATCATCTATACTCATAAATTAGTAACCACCAAGGTGAAAGCATAAACAATTTCGTATATCACATGTGATGTGAAACTTTTCTTTAAACACAAGTTTCAATATTACTTATTTGTACATTAAATGTACACCAGTCATTCAAGCTGCAGAGCGAGTCAGTATGGAATAAACACTCACTCACCTACACAATTTTCAAGTCAAATCAACTAAAAAATCTCGTTTTATTCTTAAGTCAGAGGAAGCATAATAGCTGCGGCTCGTCTATATTGGGTGAAGTCATCGTGGTGAAGGATAAGGAAGTGAGGCATGACCAGCCATCTTGGGTGGCGCGAGCACGGGGGACAACCTGTACCAGGTGAGGGAGAGATGACCTGGCACCAGTAAGGTGTGCGGCTGCAACCCGTTCTTGCACTTGCTTATACTCAATATTTGGCTCATTAATAAGTGCATATGTGACATACTAAGTTATTGTGAATATTTGAGTTGACGGGATAGCTGGAATTGTTAATTTAATAATCTGAATTTAGGTCCGATAAAGACCTTGTGTGCCCTGTGAAATTCTGTTTGTGCTATCGCTCACAGGATGAGTATGGGGTGAACAATAAACTAGGAGCCTCTGGCGGCAACAACAAATAATACCGCTGGGAGCCTAAGGATGAGTAGGATAAGGAGAATGTCACAAGTGTGAGTCCTGTGTCATCTAGACGACTAGCGAAAACTGGGCGATGTATAACCAGGTGGAGGTGAAACATATTGCAGGTTCACATCTAGGTAGGTTGAAGGGGCGTGAGGCTCACTCGTCTGCAGTGGGTGGTGGAGGAGGAAAGATGTCACTAGCGATGGCACCGAGGTCCTCCTGGAAGGCCCGGTACTCAACGTCCTGCACACCAAAGGCAAAGATAACCATATTTACTCCTACATTAAAGCACGAATTAATTCAGAATACAAACAAAAAAATAGTGTTCATACGTGAAGACAAGGTCAATGTTTGTGATACAAGAATGGTGGCGGCTCACCAGCGTAAGGTTATGTAGGTGTGGGAGAGAGGTGGTGAGGTGCGCGGAGACTATGGTGAGAGCCGCCTCCCTGGACACCAGGCCCACCTCGCCCGGCAGTGTGCGCGCACACTCCTCCCACCACGCCCGCCGCCCGTACACCAGTCCTGTCGGGTAACAACCGCTCATATACATTTCATAGATCTTACCTCGTCAACATCACGCTGCACAATTGACATGTGGTCGACTGTGCATAAATTGAGTATTAACTGAATAACAGTATATTCCTCTATACATGACTTGTGACAATAATAAGACTTGAACACCAAACTACTGGTAGCTCCAAGAATCTAAGATAAAATGATTTCCACAAATCTAGATAAATAATAATAATAATATAATAATATATATATATATATATATATATATATATATATATATATATATATATATATATATATATATATTATTAAATATGACCGAAAAAGTAAGATTAATAATTCTAACACGAATTTTCTCAATCTTTCGTACATTACGCTTCACTGTTGGAGGTAAATCAAAAATTAATTCTCCAAAATTCATTTTTATTTCTAGTCTGACGCGACACGGGCGCGTTTCGTAAAACTTATTACATTTTCAAAGACTTTAGTTCACAAATACACAACTGAATAGAACTTACGTATCTCCGATTTTATATCTACATTTGAGTGAGGTGGGAGGGGTGATGTGGCATTAACACAAGACAGAACAAGAGGGGATATTAATAGGGAATTAAAAGTATCAACACAAGACAGAACACAAACAATGGGTATTGAATAGAAGTGTTTATAGAAAGCCTATTGGTCCATATTTCTTGATGCTTCTATATTGGAGCGGAGTCTTGAGGTGGGTAGAATATAGTTGTGCAATAATTGGCTGTTGATTGCTGGTGTTGACTTCTTGATGTGTAGTGCCTCGCAAACGTCAAGCCGCCTGCTATCGCTGTATCTATCGATGATTTCTGTGTTGTTTACTAGCCTGTACTCCTCTTGACATACCAGAAAATATTCTGAGGAAACTACTCCAAGCTTGTACTAAAGAGGCACCCTTCTTGAGCCCGGATGGGCACATGTATAAGCAAGTAGATGGGGTCGCCATAGGTTCTCCCCTAGGTGTCCTGTTTGCAAACTTCTATATGGGTACCATCGAGCAAAAAGTCTTAGTCGACATGAACTTGAAACCGGCCATATACTGCAGGTATGTTGACAGACATTTTTACACAGGTACCTGATGTCAGACATCTGCAGGAGCTGAAGGAGGCATTTGAGCAGAGTTCCGTGCTGCGTTTCACTTACGAGATGGAAAAGGATGGGAAGCTGCCCTTTCTAGATGTAACAATCATGGAAAAGGGCGGAGGTTTCCACACTGCAGTCTACACTAAGGAAACAAACATAGGAATGTGCCTAAATGCCAACAGCGACTGCCCTGACAGGTACAAGAGGAGTGTTGTTAACGCATATGTCGACCGTGCTCTCAGCCACAGCTCAGAATGGAAGCAAGTCGACGAAGAACTCTGTAGGGTAAGGCAGGTCCTAGTCAATAACGGCTTCTCCAATGGTTTCGTCGAAGACATCATAAGAAGGAAAGTGAAAAGCCATGCAACCTCTGAAGAGACAACTAACACAACACCTATACCCCCTATTAGACTATTTTACAGGAACTTCTTTTCCACAGCTCATAAAACGGAGGAAAGGGTCCTGAAAGATATTGTTAATAGAAACGTTATCCCTACAGACAAAAATCAGAGGATACAACTGACGATTTACTATAAAACCAGAAAAACGGCCAGCCTACTCATGAGAAACTCTCCAGACACAAAACAGAACGCTTTAAAAGAGACTAACGTTGTCTATGCCTTCAAATGCCCACTTGGGGACTGTAAGCTCCAAAAAACCCAGTATATAGGCAAGACAACAACATCTCTTTCTAGGCGTTTAACGATGCATAAGCAACAGGGCTCCATTAAGGAACATATAATCTCTTCCCACAACCAAACCATCGCCAGAGAAATCCTAGTAAACAACACAGAAATCATCGATAGATACAGCGATAGCAGGCGGCTTGACGTTTGCGAGGCACTACACATCAAGAAGTCAACACCAGCAATCAACAGCCAATTATTGCACAACTATATTCTACCCACCTCAAGACTCCGCTCCAATATAGAAGCATCAAGAAATATGGACCAATAGGCTTTCTACAAACACTTCTATTCAATACCCATTGTTTGTGTTCTGTCTTGTGTTGATACTTTTAATACCCTATTAATATCCCCTCTTGTTCTGTCTTGTGTTAATGCCACATCACCCCTCCCACCTCACTCAAATGTAGATATAAAATCGGAGATACGTAAGTTCTATTCAGTTGTGTATTTGTGAACTAAAGTCTTTGAAAATGTAATAAGTTTTACGAAACGCGCCCGTGTCGCGTCAGACTAGAAATAAAAATGAATTTTGGAGAATTAATTTTTGATTTACCTCCAACAGTGAAGCGTAATGTACGAAAGATTGAGAAAATTCGTGTTAGAATTATTAATCTTACTTTTTCGGTCATATTTAATAATATATGTCTACAGGAAAGACTGCTACCAAAATATACTAATATATATATATATATATATATATATGTTGCACCTAGTAGCCAGAACGTCGTACTCGGCCTGCTATGCAAGGCCCGATTTGCCTAATAAGCCAAGTTCTCCTGAATTGATATATTTTCTCTTATTTTTTTCTTATGAAATGATAAAGCCACCCATTTCATTATGTATGAGGTAAATTTTTTTAATTGGAGTTAAAATCAACGTAGATATATGACCGAACCTAACCGTTAACCCTACCTAACCTAACCTATCTTTATAGGTTAGGAAATGGGTAGCCGAAAAAAGTTAGGTTAGGTAGTCGAAAAACAATTAATTCATGAAAACTTGGCTTATTAGGCAAATCGGGCCTTGCATAGTAGGCTGAGAAGTGCGTTCTGGCTACTAGGTACGACATTATATATATATATATATATATATATATATATATATATATATATATATATATATATATATATATATATATATATATATATATGCGGAGAATCCACAGAGAAATATGAAATGATGTGAACGTTTCGGCTTGTTAAAGCCTTTGTCAACACCAGACTTGGTCAGTCTGGTGTTGACAATGGCTTTAACAAGCCGAAACGTTCACCTCATTTCATATTTCTCTGTGGATTTTCCGCATAAAATGATCAGTGTTTTGTGATCGTCAATTGCATATATATATATATATATATATATATATATATATATATATATATATATATATATATATATATATATATATATATAGATTTACTAACAAATAGTAAAATAATGCAAATAGATTTGTGTATAAATATCAGTGTAATGAGCAAATATGATGACATGAGCGTGGGGTCGGGGAGGCTCATGTCACTACATCACCACACTTCACATTATACTGGTGGATAACGTGAAGCGTGATGACGTGTCCCTCATCACACCTCACACGCTACCTTAACACATCTCTACTGTGTTGCTCACTAACCCAAGAGGGAAAATAACTCTAAACTCGGCCTATTGCAAGTCTGACAGGTTAACTGTGAACTGTGTGTGTGTGTGTGGGGGGGGGGGGGTTCTATAGTTGTAGTGGGTGTGGAGACTCCACTGAGCTTGGTGGTGGATGGCAGAGAATACGCTACATGGCGTCACTGCGCAATACCACCTTGTCTTGGGTCGCATCACTGTGGAAAATTTCCACCCACTATATCAATATTATAATCTAAGAAATGAAGTACATCATAATCCTATCAGAATCATTATCCTGTATCATACATCATATCGAATCATACATCTGGATTCTACATCCATGACACCACCATAAGGGTCACGTCTGCCATTAGGCCTATGGATTCCTACGTGACTTCGCCCATGGATCTTCGTCACTCTAGAAGGTTCTACAAGAAGCTGTCTTATTTGAAATACAATTGGAACATTATTTGACTTCCGGAGTTGGTTAATAAAAAACCAGCGTTGAATGTAATGAAACGCCATTTTCTGGGTGAGTCCCGGAGGCTCCCCGGAGCTATCTCAGGCTGATATGCTAATGTCAGACTTTGGCATCAGTCATGTGTATGGAGTTCTTAGGCCTACCGGGGACCACGGCCAGAACCGGGCCCCCTCAGAGAGGCAAGGGGAGCAATGGCCTATAGAAGCCCCCGTGTAGTTGGAAGCATTCTATGTCTGCCATCGACCGGAACAGGCACCCAGAAAGGTAAGCGCCCCAAAACAAACCCCTATTCTGGTTAAAATTGCTACCTAATACCGAACTAGTGGATAGAACTCCCCAACCGAAAACAAGCAAATTAGTGTGACGTCACACACTGCCGCGCCGCTGTCTGCGCAGCTCCCCCCTCCCGGGAGGGGGAAGGGGGAGCCCCAGACCCCCCGCGCCGGCAACCCACACCTCAGTTCTTGAGGCTGGATGTCAAAAACGCGAAAAACCGCCGACCGGAGGGAGGGAGGGATGCCGGGGAGCCTCCGGGACTCACCCAGAAAATGGCGTTTCATTACATTCAACGCTGGTTTTCTGGGGGGAGCCCCGTCGGCTCCCCGGAGCTAACTACCCACAGACAGAAAAAGAGGGACTTACCCGGGAGGCGGTCGTCGCTCACCCCTCAACTCGAAGCCGAGACAACTGGCTGCAACCGCCGACCCAAAGCAACACAGGCCGACGAGGGCCAGGGACATTCACAAGGTAACGAGCAGCCAGGACCCTGTTCGACCGCCAAAATCCCCGCGCCCGAATATCAGACCAAGACATATTCCCAAAGACGGCAGCAAGAGCCGCGAACTTACGAACGTCATGGGCACGGGGATAGACCGCAGGCTGGCTAGACCTAATAACCCTGCGGACGACCTGAGAGACCCGAACCCGCGAACAGGGAAGAAGGGAAACCGGATCAACCCACAGCGCGTCCCCGGACACAGAAGCTGTGGCGCGCAAATAACGGCGAAGCACCGCAACCGGACACAAAACATGATGCACCCCCGGCCTGACCAACCAAGCATCAACCACCCATGGACCCCTCCGGAACGCAGCAGTCTCATTCTTCGCCAGAAAAG